TGAGAAAATGAGAAAACATAAAGAGAGGATAAAATAGTCATTTTGCCTCTTGTAAATAGTAATTTATGGTATTTTTGAGTGTTTTTGATTAAAAAGCATTTTTGAACATTTTGTATGAGAAATGACATATTTGTTAATTTTCTCTATATTATACTATATGGCTTCTGACTTTATTAACTGTATAACAATAATATTATCCTGCTTTCTATCAAAGTTTATTTGTTGTACTTATATTTTATCCGGCTATACTAATCTTCTTTTCTATAAGTTGTTAACAAAAATACATCCAACTTATTATATTGTCGCGTTATTTAAAATTTGTATGCGGCTAATAATTAAAATTATTCTTTAGCATGTTCTACTATCCGGATACTGATTGTATTATCCAGACATGTCACTGCTTTCACCAGACATATTATTGCTTCCAACATATATAAAGCTGAGAGACGCAATTAAGGGTAAAAATGTCATAAATAGTATCAAAATAGTGTTAGAATTTCTCTCTGTTAGTTTGCCAAATATCCAAAAATGTGTTGCTATCCAATGCAAATACTCAAAAAAATATATTGTGTGTATACTGTATTTATGTTCAACCCTATACAAGCAACACACACACACTCTATTGGGTCAAACCTATACAAGACGCAAATTCTACCACTTGCGTCTCTCGGAAGAGTGTTCTTCTGATTGTTGCTCTGAAGCGATCGTCTCTTCACTCCATTTGCGTCTCTCGGAAGAGTGTTCTTCTGATTGTTGCAAATGGTAGAGTGAAGATCCTCTGAGGAATCCGTGGACCTCGATGGTCTGCTTATACTTAACGTTTCATGTTCTCATGGTACTTTCTTCTCCTCTCTAGACTACACGCGATTTCGATTTTGTGAACGAAATTGGATCTGTGCGTGTTTGGGTTGAGCTGAAATTTGATTTTGAGATACGTACTGGATGGATCTATGACTTAGAGCTTGATCAATCATCTTTGGTTTTACTGAATTCAACTACGATTGTATAATCGGAAACATGGAGTCGTAAATTTTTAATTTAAACTCATTTCCATATGTTATATGAGTTGAATTTACATATCCAAATCTAAGAATATAATACTCAATGACTTAATGGGTTATATGGGTTAATCACATATAAATTAAAATATAAGAATAAATTAATAGATAAATCAAAACAATCCATATTATTATAAATCAGACCAATTTTTTCAACTTTTCAACTAAAAAAATAAACTAAAATGTGTATGTATCTTAGAATAAAATAAAATAAAAATCATAAACTTAATAAAATCAATAAAGCAATAAAAACAATAAACTATTGATTAGTTTTAAAAGATACTTCGATCTTAGTCGGATGATGATAAGAAAAAAACATAATTGTTAAGTTTTTTTTAAAAACACTTGATAATCTTTTAGAGTCATTTACA